GGTCGCCCCCAGGGACCACATGAGTCGCCCGCAGGCCTGGTCTAAAAATAGCACAACTCAGTAGTGAGCTGCGTCTGAAATGTAATTGTATTCTGTTGATATTCTTTTTCAATCACACCTGTTGCATTTATATAGCATATATTTATATATTTATATTTAAAAATGACAATATCTTCTGTTCATTATACATGAGTTTAGATAAGTTTAGGTGAACTCTGACTTACTCTAGTTCAGGGGTCCAAACGTCGCTCGCGAGCTACCAGTAACGTTAGCTCGTGGCCTGATTGGAGGTTGCTCGTCAAGGAGCCGTTCACATATCGAGTCTTTTGCGTCCTCAAGTTCGTTATTTCAAATGTAGGTGCGAGGCAAGCGCGCTCATAATTAAAGCGACGCGCTATTTTTTTCCAGGTGCAGCGAGATGAAAAAAATGCAACTATTCAGTATGCCGCAAACGTACCGCAGGTCAACCAATCAGCTTCACCCTTTCCATAACAACATTGAAAGCTCAGTCAACATGAAGGATGGGGGTGCACCCAAACACTACGGGTGTTTTTCTCTTCTCCGTAAATAAATCTTGTAGCAGAGCTACAGCAAGTGTTTTTCGGTGGTGGAAATCTATTAGCTACTAAAACTTCTTTGTCATTGTGGAGAGCGCAGTGCATGGTTGCATAGCAACGACAGACGCCACGGGAAAATCAGATCGAATTTTACTCTTAATAATAAAAGATAAGCTAATGTGCATTGTAAAAGTCAGTAATTTATCTTTTTTGGCTCATTCTTTTTATAAAAATGATTTAAAGGCTGAAATATGTGAGGTTTATATTTTTATAAAACATTTTTTGTCAAAACTTTATTTGAACTTGTACATACTTGTACAGTAGGCTAGATAACATGTTGCAAGACACTCCTTTAAAATCTAGCCATAATTTTTAATGTTATTATTTTAATGTTTATGTAAACAAAAAGTGCATATTGATGCGGATTTATTTGTTATTTGCTGGTTTTCGACATACAACTTAGTGAATTGATTTCATTGTGTAGTATTAGTACTTTTTGAACAGGATTCTGTGATTACCGTGATCATTTTGGTCACTAATGAAATTAAATTATCATGCCATTTCATATCTAGTCATGATGAACTATAAAATCAACTATAATTATGTGTTTTTACAATATAATATGCAAAGTACAATTTTCTATAAAAAAAATAATCTCTGATTCTGTTCTTTTCTCTGACATTTAAGGGTGACATAGGCATACAAAAACCCTTTTAGGTATAAAATAGTTTAGATAGTTGTTAATATGCAAGTTATGAGACATTATTTCAGAGATTTAAGTATTGTATTACATGAGTAGCTCTCGGCCACTTTCATTTTTAAAAAGTAGCTCTCAAATGAAAAAAGGTTGGAGACCCCTGCATTAGATACTAGTTCTTAGTTATTAGATACCAGTACCTAAATGGATATTAGTACACGTTTATTAGATTCTAGTACTTGTTCATTAGAAACTAGCACTTATTCATTAGACACTATACTTATTTTAACAGTGACTAACAACTATTGTATTGTTACTAGTAACACATTTAAATATTTTTCCATTGACTTCTATGGGGATCTGTCATTCAGATATCAACCATTCAGTTCTGACTAGTATGTATTCCATTTGTGACTATGTATTTATTATATATAGTTATTTCATTGTACCTATACAAGCGTAAGGGACGCTCAGAGGTTAAGCACTGGTTAAGCACTAGTAGAAATGGTGGTCGGAGTTTCAGGTTAGAGAAACTGGAGTGAGAAAGAGTGTCCCAGCTGAAGGGGTTTATTTTGGATTATTTCTGCATGTTTGAGGTATTAAACACATTTTCCCTTATGGTTGTGTTGTACAATGAACCGAGAAAACAAAATGCAATATAAAATCTACAATAAAAAAACATATAAAGCCAAATAAAATTGCAACTTGGTAAGATATTTAAACAGGTTGTGAACCCTGTTTTTTTTAGGCAGTTGAATATAACTTTTAAAGGGCATATTGCAGGTTAGAGGACCCAACGAGTCAATGTATAGAAAAATAATGTAGGAACTAGATTTTCTTTAAAATATACTTATAAATACGCTACAGAAGCTTCTGGAGTCGTTTTTGTGAGAATTTTACTTCCGCGTCTAAAAATGGGCGTGGCGGGCGTGACATAACGGGCGGGAGAGCGGTCGATTCAAACAACAGGAAAACAATGGATCGCAATGACATTTCGGACGCTGAGGAAATACTTACTCGTATGACGGACCACAGCCATACAACTATGCTGCCAAGAGAGCAGGGACAGGCCAGGACTAATGTCAGACAGAACGGTCAGAGACAAATTGAGTTGTGGTGTGAGAACCAGTGGAGAACAGGACAGGTGTCTTGGTGAGAGACGTGCTTATAGATATACGTTCGCTAACGATATACACTGTGCTCACAATATTGTACAGATTATTACCATCGTATATCAGGCCAGCAGACATTAGTATGTTTAGTGTAGATTTATACTGTTAAATGTATAAACTATACTTGATTATATTTCTATTGTACTAAAAACATACTCAAGTACATTTTTAAATTATTTTTCACCTGGGTTATAACATAAACAGAAAATTAAAGATTTGAATATTTAAACAACCTAGTAATTTTGTTTTTCAATTACAAGTTGCCTCTATTTAGGGCATGGCTACCTATATGTCACACTATTTGATGCCATTGGTACAGTATACGACGATCAATATTCTTGCTTCAGCATCCCATGTTAAACTCGGGATGCTGAAGGATGATAATCCTCCGATCTGAAGTGAACGCTACACACGACCGTGTTTTTCGAAGCCGATGGGGAAGAGGAATCCCGTCTCTTCACCGCACTAGGCACGAAAGATAGCACCGTCCCTTTTCTTGTTATGGAAACCTGTGGACTTAATGTCCTGACCAGCCGGAGTTTTTGCAACCTCCACAAACACAATAATGACGAAGATAAATTAAAATACAAAAACTACTGAAAACACACTGACTCACGACCGCTCTCACTAAATGCCAGCTTACTCGGCACTAAGCTGAGGCTCCCTGACGTGACGTAAAATGACGCGATGTTGAAAAAAAAGCCGTTTTTACGAGCAGTCCAAGAAACGCTCACTTTATCTACTAAATTAGTGCCTTTATGTTGTTTTAAAACATTTAAAATCCTGCATTAACTTTTCATATGGTATTTTCATACAAGGTAATATATTAATTTAGATTTTTTTTTTTTACCTGCAATATGCTCTTTAAAAATATTCAGCACAAATGTTACTTGCTGGTCGACTACGGAAGCTGTCACAGTTGCTAGGTGACAAGAACAGTCCTCCTTAGGCTAGACATCCCATTTAAAAACACTCAGTTTAACCTTCGCTTTTGAAGTCGTGGCCTTGGAAGAATGCAGCCTTTGAATTAGGACACAGCCATTGACTGCCCCCGATACTTGTTCAGGCATGTCTTGACTTGTCTAAAGTGTCAATGAAGTTAAGATACCTCCAGGTGGCGTTTTTGGGCTTCCTTACAGTATTAGTTCTTGTTGAGCCTATTAAATAGATGCTAGTATTTATTCATTAGATACTAGTTCTTATTTGTTATATACTAATACTAATTCATTTGATACTCGAACATTAAATGTATGCTAGTACTTATTAGATACAAGTAGCTAAAAAAATAAGTAAGGTTTAAATTCTAAAACGGATTGCCATTCATTTGATACACGTAACTATTAAATGCATGCTAGTACTTATTTATTAGATACTAGTAGGTCAAGCTAAAAAATAAAATTAAAAAAAGTATTAGTAACACGAAAACAGATGCCAGTACGTTAAAGGGGTCATATAATGGTACATGCACTTTTACAAGTTGATTGTACTGAAATGTGTGTTGGCAGTGCCTGTACACAAACATCATATAATGATAAAAATCCATCCAGTGGTTTTGTTTTAATCTCCTTATATGTTTTCCCCTGCCTCAAATCAAGCCGTTCGTTTTTGTGACGTCAATAAAATGGACGCCCCTCCCACGATTGTTGATTGATGGGAGCGTTTCAACACAGACCCGCCCTCGCACATGAGGTAGCTGTCAATCATAGTCTGCGCGGCGCGGACCGGACCGGCGCGGTCATTGTTTATATGCCGGAGCACTGTCTATGAGCAGAATGGCGTCTAAGCGATTGTGGTGTTCTGTTCTTGGGTGTAATAACGAACACAGTCATTTTTAATGTTCCTGAATCCGAACCGCTGAAGACGCAGTGGCTGAGTTTTGTTTTCGAAGGGAATATTCCACACGAGCAACGTCAATGCTTTCATGTTTGCGCGAATCATTTCACACACCAGACTGCTTCATAAACGAGGGTCAGTATAAAGCTGGATTTGCTAAGAAGCTTTGCTAAAAAGGATCGGTACCAGATATTCGTGTTCCTGCTGAACCTCCAGAAGAACGGAAGTGAGTGAAACGTTTTATTAAACTTTATATTAATATATTAATCTTTGCAAATCGCTAGCTGCACGCTTCACAATGAATGCGTCTAAGGTTTACACTCAGTCAGGGTACATTACGGCATGTTTTCTATGTATGACGTTCTCAATATAATTCATAATTCCACGTTTATACTGAACAACGCGTTATGGTTATTTTGTTATTGTGTTACAAACGGTGTTTGCACAGAACAGAGGGGTGGAGTGAGCGCAGCTCATGATCATTTAAAGGCATATGCACTGAAACGGCGTGCTGAAAACAGAGCTGTTTTTGACCAGGTAAAATAAGTGTTTTCTTACAATACTAATGAGAATTTTTAATTAAAGTATATTACAAACTTTTAATTTAGACCCTAAAGAATCATATTAGCTTGTACAAAAATGGCATTATATGACCCCTTTAAGGTTTAAATCTTAAAACGGCTTGCCATGTTTCCCTGCATCGTACACAATCCTCCTGTCCAACAGATGGCGCTAATGACACTTCAGCCTGCGTTACTATGTGTCTGTGAAGGAAGGAAGACTGGCAGCTTAGAAAATAAACAAAAGACGAGCTCAGATTAATAAATGTTTTTGAGGTTAACCATAATCTTTTAACCACGTTTGTGCAGTCTTTAGGTTGAACTATCAGCAAGGGCTGACCGACTGGCCATGAATTTAGACCTATCGCTGCGAGTGAGCGTCTTCTCCGAACAAGGAGGAAGGAAATACATGGAGGATTTAACTGAGGTGATCGTGGAGCTGGAACCCAGCGACGATGAGCTGCGAGAGGCCGGACACACTGATCCAAAGCTGGACCAAGAGCCCGTCTCTGAAAGCGACCCGCCGGAATGCACAAACAAGCCTTTACCCGTCATGGTAACGTGGAGAAACACCCTGTCGACCGATGAGATCGACGGGACAGAGGAGCCCGGGACTCAACCGGCGGCAGCGGACAGCAGGAGATCGGTCGCGTTCTTCGCCGTGTTTGACGGCCACGGAGGGCGAGAAGCCGCGTTGTTCGCTCGAGATCACCTCTGGGATTTTCTCAAGAAGCAGCGGGGCTTTTGGTCTAAGGATTACCGGAAAGTTTGTGCCGCAATTCGTAAGGGCTTCGTCGCATGTCATCATGCAATGTGGAAAAAGCTTCGTAAGTACATTCATGACTATTTCCCAAGACATTAATTTCCTGACGATAGTACTTTTTTTTTTTTATTGATTTTTTTTAAATGTCTAACGTTAACTACGTTGTGAGTAGCTTCGATTATAAGGTTATGGTGATCAGTGTAATTTGAGACCTCCAGGCAATTTGTAACGCCTGAAATCACATACGTGTTAAAATTATTCTTAGACAGATGAATATAAATACTGGGGCTGCTATTCAGCTGTCGCAATAATACACTTTTTGAAATTGGGCGCCACGATATATACTTACTGCAGAAAACACGAAAAAAAAAATCAAATCGAACGGATGGGTCGTAGTGCGCATGCGCGGAAATTGACAGGTTAATAAGCAGGTCTATCTAAAAACTGTTGCAGACCTTTACACACTTTTAGAGCGATGAAGCAAATGCATTATACTACGGAAGCCGTAAAATATTATTATGTTGGCATAATAAATATAAACTTTCTCATAATTATTATTTAGTATCTCATTATAGCGAGAATATTACTCATAATAATGACTTCCTATTATTATATATTGAAAAACTGTCCCATAACTGTCTACTTAGTATTTCATAATAATGAGAAATGCTCTCAATAAAGTTAATGTTATAATATTTATTTAGAATAAAAATAAAATTAATGAATTAATATTAACATCTTATGAGAAGAGAACCTTTCTCGTTAAAATGGCTTAATATCGTGTAATACCTCGTAATAAGAAATATTCTAATAACGACTTAACATCTGATAATGATATTTTTTCATAATAATGAGGTTTCTTGTAAAAATGGGTTTTTCGTAATGAGTTTCTTATAATAATGACTTTGAATCTCATAATAATAAGAAGCTTTCTCGTAATAATGACTTAGTTTCACATTATTATGATATCCATTACACGAGAGTAGATGTTAAACCTCATGAAATACTTTCTCAAAACAATGACTTAGGCTAGTATCTCATTATAATGAGAAACTCTCATAATAATGATGACTTTAAAATGTAGAAATATCTACCTTGCAAAAAAAAAAAAAAAGGAAAAAGTCTCGCACGGCACACGACTCGAACTTTAATTACTTAGGCTAATAGTTTTAATACGCAACCCTCTGGTCAACAGAACTTCCTCAGCCAATAATGACTTAACATATCATAGTAATAATGACTCGGTGTTGAATAAAAAAAAAACACAACACTTGTTTATAAATGTATCCTAATGTGCGCATGTGCAAAGCCACAGACTAGGTCCGCGTGATGGCAGGCTAGCGACATCTGTTGGTCAAAGCCGTGTAAATGCAAGAACACAGCAAACATGGCACGTTTTGCGAAACTGTTGTTTTCATTCTTGTATAATCTAAATCTATAATATAATTACACAACAATGAAGATAAAAGATTTATGAGATGTTAATTCATTATTATTTGAAAGTATCTCATTATGACTTACAGAACTGGATTTTATTCAGCTGTGGAGAAATGGCCTTGTAATCAATGTCTTGATGCAGTTGTGTTTAACCCTGTGTCTGTTCTTCAGCGGAATGGCCAAAAACGTTAACTGGCCTCCCCAGTACTTCAGGCACTACAGCCAGTGTGGTGGTCATCAGAGGGGACCGCATGTTTGTGGCCCATGTCGGGGACTCGTCTGTCGTGCTGGGTGTGAGGGAAGATCCCTCTGATAAAGTCATCAAAGCTGTGGAGGTCACACAAGACCACAAGCCTGAGCTCCCAAAAGAGAAGCAGAGAATTGAGGGACTGGGAGGAAGGTGAGAGCTTGATTTTTAATATTTATTTTTTAGTCATCATAAGAATTAATCTCTTGGATTCATGCAGTCATTTCCTCTTATTGCGTGTGAGTGTAGTGTGGTGAAGAAATCTGGTGTGAACCGTGTGGTGTGGAAGAGGCCTAGGCTAACTCACAACGGCCCGGTCAGAAGGAGCACCCCGATCGATCAGATCCCCTTCCTCGCTGTTGCCAGAGCTCTGGGTAAATGCTTAATATTTAATATATCAGAGTGAGATTGTAATTAAGTAATATGTGGTTTGTACTGACTTCAAAAGCCACTGCTTTAAATGGTGTTTAGAAGGATTGTGCAAACCTGTAAAAATCCATTACAGTCAAATTCAGTGCCTATTCACGATTCATCATCAGGGATACAGTAGTTCACCCAAAAATGAATATTCGGTCATCAGTTCTGGCAGGATCACCCTCACGTTGTTCAACCACATAAGACTTTCGTCCATCTACAAAATGAAGCTTTGACACTTCATATGATTCGAGTGGTTTAAATGCAAGTCTTCTGAAGAGACACGATCTCTTTAAATGATGAACTGATTTAATTTAGGCTTTTATTCACATACCCTGGCCTAAAAACATAATTTATATAGAAACATTTTTCACAATTGCCAGTAAATTAACAATTATAATTGGAGTTATAAGACTGAAATAGTATTTTCTTGTAAATCATAGCCTACTTCACTAATCTGTTTTATTTACAACTTTAAAAAATGTTTTTTACAGTGTATAAACTTTGGATGTGCTCAGGATGTTTATGCATTGTTCAATGGGCTCGTAAAATAGATCGTAAACTAATGAACACGGAGAATGCGAGCAGTTTGTTTGCTCTGGCTCTGGCTGGTCAAAATTTGACGCCGCCGCGCCGTCAAAATTCCTACTGTTCCTACTGGCGACCATGCAACCATGAAAATGTTCCTAGTGGACCCATTAGTTCTCGGGGAACCACCCTGGTGGCTAGTTCCTTGAACTGAGTTCCTAGAACTACCCGGTGCAAAAGCTTCTATACTGTAGGCACATGAGGGTGAGTAAATGATGATAGAATTTTTGTTTTTGAGTGAGTTAGGCTAGCTTAAAGAACTTAAAGCTAAGATGGAATTGAAAGACTTGTTTTTCGGGCTGATGGTCCTAATATCAAAATATAGAGATTTTTCCTGAAGCTTTTCTAGAATTTCCAGGATATATTTATTGACAAATGCGACTGTATGCAAGTAATGTTGTAAACGTTTCCGTGCAGGTGATCTATGGAGTTATGACTTCTACAGTGGAGAGTTTGTGGTGTCTCCCGAGCCTGACACCAATGTGGTGACCCTTGACCCAAGACGGCATCGTTACATCATCGTTGGCAGTGACGGCCTTTGGAATATGGTGCCGCCGCAGGAGGCGGTGACTGTGTGCCAGAGCCATGATGAAGCTGTGGTACGAAAAAAAAAGTTTCTAACCATATGTTGTAATATTCTAACTTCTCTATTTGTGTTCATTTCTAAAGGCCCGTTCACACCAAGGATGGTAACTATAAAAATATAGTTCGAAATCTAAAAGAATAGCAGAGTCCACACTATAACGATAACGGCACAGAGAAACAATATAGTTGGAATGACTTTCAGAACGATGTTTCTCAGCTGATGAAAGATAAAAATATTGACAGCCAATCAGAATCTGTCCTGCTTTAAAGAGCTTGAGCTAATGTAGTTATTTTTCCAGTTATCATTCTTGGTGTGAACTGGCCTTAAGAGTGTGTTTTACGCCCTACAGGCACCCTTCGGGATGTCGGTTGCACGTCGGTTGGGCTGCCATGCGTTGATGCGATGGCGCCAACGGATGCTCCGTGCAGACAATACCAGCGTTATAGTTATCGCCCTTCCTGAGCCTGGCAAACCCCACCTTCCTATGCATAGAGACGAGGTCATTCTCAGCCTAGCAGAGGGCCCGCACTGTGACCCAGCTATAGGGTCCCGCTCCAACACACCACTCATTAAGGTAAAAGATGCTTAAAACCACACTTTGAGAAGCAATGGCAGTCTGAGGGTGTTTTCAGGAAACAAAATCCTAAAATTCAGTTTGCATTTGGTGCCACCAGTAGCGCAGAAATGACACCCTGCCATAGACGGTATGCTATGATGTCACAGTAGGTGGGAGTCACAAAAGTTACACCCACTGAGTGGCAAAAAGACTGAGTGTTTGTGTTCAGCGTGAATGCCGCGAATAACACACAAATCTAAAATGGAGAAGATCTGTGCGATTGACTGTACAAATAGTTAAAAAAAAAAACGGAGCTATTTTTTTACTGACTGCTGAAAGCTACAGAAAAGAGAAACAACTGGAAACAACCAGAATCCAGCCAGTGAAACGTAGATTTGCATTTACAATTTTGTCTCTAATATATTGAGTTTGGGGGTAAAATCATACCCTATGTCATATATTATATTGACAACTCATATTTACCATCTTATATTGTAACTGTAAAGTATTTGTCAGTGTTTATTTAGCCTTGTGTTCTACAGAGGGGGATGGTTAGATAATGTTAGACAAACCAATTGTTTCCTTACAAAGCAGATGTCTATATATATATATATATATATTAGGGGTGTCCCCGACTAAGGATTTTCATAGTCGAATCAGATTCGTCAAGTCCTGCCTATAGTCGACTAATAGTCGAATCATGTGTGTGGTGTTGGGGAGGGGGCGGGGCTTTAACATTTTAAAGCCGCGATGTACAGAACATCACATAAAGATATAGAAGAAAATGTATAAAAACATTTTGGATCAATAAAACTAAGAAATAACATAAATAACTGCAGAAAGGCCACACTGCAGATAGGATTTGCATTTCACATGCAAATCAAATTAAATCGGCTGAATTGCCTGTACGAGCTAAGTAGGCCTACAGCGCAACATCGATGCACTGAAAAATAATCAACAATTAAGAACACAATATAGGCCTACATTTATAATAAATAAAAATACAAAACGAAATAAGTCAGAATCAAGTCACAAGAAGCAGAACAAATGTGTGCAAAATGCCTAAAGTGCAGGGGAACAAATATTCAAAACACAAGTCACAAATAGTTAAATTAGATCACCCTGAGTGATCAATTAATAAAATAAAAATAAAGAAATTATTAAAATAACGAAAGTATGGCCAGGATTGTCAACTTTGTCTTTTTAACTGCAGAAACAACAATAAACGCTAAACTGGAGCGGCAGTCTTTTTAGCTCAACATGTTCACAGTATCCAAAAATCAAATTAGAACCGGCTGAAATGTTTTGAAATCACTTGTACCCTACCCATACCTGATCGAGAAAACAAAATCCAGTCTTTCACTCGGCCTGTGTCCGTTTGAGTCTTTTCAAATTGTGTGCGCGGATAAAATACATTCTAAAACGCTTAACGTGAAAAACGCTTAACGGCTTTGTCCTAAAACTGTTATATTAAAAGATCAAATTCTATTCTGTACACACCTTATTAATAAAGCATAGCCTACTATATAGCCTACAGAAAAGCAGATGAGCCCAGAATATGAACGCAACGCGTTTTATTACGTTAAGCATTTTCCTCCCATAGAAACGCGTTAAAGAAAAAGCTTTACGTGACTTTCTATAGGAGAAACGCGTTGCGTTCATATTCTGGGTTCATCTGCTTATCTGCACATGGAATTGTTTCTTAAGGTGTGTAGCCTACTGTGTACATACATTAAGCACGCTAAAGTGCCATTTAAGCGTTTTAAAAGCTTTTTTCACGTTAAGCGTTTTGGAACGTCCCGAGGAAAACCAACCTGTTAAGGTTGGCCGGCAGAAGTGCGATCATGGTTTTCCTGATGCTTAATCCAGCCTTGGAGAATATCCTTTCTGATGGTGTGCATCTTTAGATTTTCTTATCCCAGACATTTTTAAAGATTTAAATCCCTGCCGACACGACGCTCCTCTGTCGGTCACGGATCGAAAGTGAAACTTAAATCTGTCACGGCCCGGGGTGTTTGGATTTATTCACGCTGCACGCACGTTAAAAAATATTTATTAAAAGCTTCTTTCTTTGCACATTTTTATTGACAGCATTATCATAATAGGCTGTATATTAACGTATTGACAGAAAACCAGTAGTTCTATGTGAAATCAGACATTGAGCACACTCATATAGCCAAAATGGCATAATCCTCGTTTAATAACACATCTGCGAAGATTCGACCATGAGATTGGTAGTCGAATCAGGCTCCTCCTATCGAAGCATCGAATCTTCGACTATTCGGGGTCACCCCTAATATATATATATATATATATATTTAGAGAGAGAATGATAGATAGATAGATCTTAAATTGATCTTAAAGGAACACTCCGACTTTTTTGGACTTTAGCCTATTCACCTTATCCCCCAGAGTTAGATAAGTCCATACATACCTTTTTCATCTCCGTGCGTGCTATAAGTCTGTTTGACGCACCCACCGCTAGCCTAGCTTAGCACAAAGACTGGATGTAAATGGTTGCAGCTAGCATACTAATCCAAATAAGTGACAAAATAACGCAAACATTTTCCTATTTACATGTTGTGATTTGTATAGTCACAGAGTGTACAAAAAACAAAGTCACATGAGACACAGACATATTTTAACCGTATAAATACTGGGAACTATATTCTCTGAAGGCGAAGCACTGCTACTTGGGCGGAGTGATAACCGCAGCACCTGAGACGCGCTCTCTGCTCCTCACCACGGCTCGTCTCAGGTGCTGCGGTTATCACTCCGCCCAAGTTTACATCCAGTCTTTGTGCTAAGCTAGGCTAGCGGTGGTAACGCTTTAGATTCTGGAGCATTTGATTAGACAGAAGATGTGATGAGAAGCTGAAGCTGAGGCACTCAAAGCGCTTTACATAGAAGGGGGGGTCTCCTTAACCACCACCAATGTGCAGCATCCACCTGGATGATGCGACGGCAGCCATATTGCACCAGAACGCCTTACTGGTGGAGAGGAGACATAGTGATGAAGCCAATTGGTATATATATATATGGGGATGATTAGGAGGCCATGATGGACAGAGGCCACTGGGCAAATTTGGCCAGGATGCCGGGGTTACACCCCTACTCTTTCGAAAGACATCCTGGGATTTTTTGTGACCACAGAGTCAGGGCCTCGGTTTAACGTCTCATCCGAAGGACGGTGCTCTTTGACAGTACAGTGTCCCCATTACTATACTGGGGCGTTAGGACCCACACAGACCACAGGGTGAGCGCCCCCTGCTGGCCTCACTAACACCTCTTCCAGCAGCAACCTGGTTTTCTCAGAAGGTCTCCCATCCAGGTACTAACCAGGCTCAGCCCTGCTTAGCTTCAGTGGGCAACCAGTCTTGGGCTACAGGGTGATATGGCTGCTGGCAAGCTAACATATTGATTTATTTACATATTTATTTATTTAAGGCTAACATATTCATACTAAGAGCTAAAAAACTTAAATTTTGATTTCAGGGGGCCATTAAATAGATCGTTTACACCGCAGAACTCTGTATCGTCTGCCTGACGGTTATAGCTGACGGTTTTTCAGATAACTTTAAAATGTTTCTACATAATATGTATTGAAACAACCAGAATATCCAAGCGTGAAGTGTGACCAATTGTCAAGTCAAATTTATTTGCATAGCTCTTCACGATACACATAGTTTCCAAGCAGTTTTACAGAAAATCATAATGTTATGTCTATAATGCTGTAGTGCTTTAACAAGTTTTAGGGCTGGGCGATATGACAATATATATTGTCCTTACCTGCTCCTGGAGGGCCAGTCCTTTAGAGTTTTGCTCCAACTTGCCTCAACAAACCTGTCTGGAAGTTTCTAGTATGCCTTGTGAGACCTTGTTTAGCTGTTTCAGGTGCGTTTAATTGGGGTTGGAGCTAAACTCTGCAGGACAGTGGCCCTTTAGGAGCTGGACTGGACACCCCTGATATATAACAATGATATGATGATGTGATCATGCGGATTTAGATCTACCTATATTGTTTTTAGAATGTTGTCTAGCAGATAAAGCGTTCTCAGGCTTTGCAGACATGTGACCCTGGACCACAAAACCAGTCTTAAGTTGCAAGGGTATATTTGTGGCAATAGCCAACAAAACACTGCATGGGTAAAAAAAATCGATTTTTCGTTTATGCCAAAAATCATTAGGATATTAAGTAAAGATCATGATCCAGGAAGATATTTAGTAAATTTCCTACCTTAAATATATATAAAAAATAAGTGGATGCAGCACAATCGCCAACAGAAATGGAAACCTTTAAAGGCGATTTTCTCAATATTTAGATTTTTTTGCACCCTCAGATTCCCGTTTTCAAATAGTTGTATCTCGGCCAAATATTGTCCTATCCTAACAAACCATACATCAATGGAAAGCTTATTTATCCAGCTTTCATGTGATTTATAAATCTCAATTTTAAAAAATGGACACATAAGACTGCTTTTGTGGTCCAGGGTCACATATGTCAGAAAACCTGATTCCTGACCACATGTCAATGTCATGTGAACCACAGGTTCTCTGGCGAGTTGTAAGGATCACTGTCGAGTCCAACTGCCTTTAATTTAAAGATAATAATTAGTTTTACTCCCGTTTTCGCAGTTACCAAAAGTTCAGTAGCCATTACCAATACCAGTAAAATGTCTATTTGTATTCAGTGCTTTGTACTAATTTCGATACTATAGCAAAAACTATTTGAATACACTCACTTTGACTATTTTACAAATAGTAAAATAAAATAGTTATTTAAAATGAATAAATTAAATTAACAATTTATGCTAACATCAACTATAAGTAAATAATAGATTGCATGCATCTTTCAAAAATGTTTTAATATTGATTAAATGAAGTAATCATTGCTTTAAAAAAAAACTTCAGTAAAATGTCAGTAATAAAATGAGGATAAAAACCCCAAGTAATAGAGCAAAGAGTGTTTTAAGCTTATTAAAGCTACTAAACATATTCAGCCAGGACTTATTAGCAAA